TCCTCCTCTCCCTGTGCCGTCCTGTTTTCTAACTCTAAGAAACACTTCTTTCATTCCTTCTTTCCATGGTGATAAAACTGAAGAATGGCTTTGTCTGTAAGTAACATTTTCTGTTCTGAAAGAATAGTGAGATGATCTAATAAATTTCGTATTTAAACTACCATTTTTCATCTCTACCTTGTACGCCCTATTTCTAATCCTTCTTATCACAATTGCTGGTATCCACAGACCCACCAGAGTACCGACTCGTGAAATGTCTCACACGTTTTCTGTTTATTTTCTAGTCCTATTAAATTTTCCAGGATTTATTCGTTTGGGTCTGAGGTTACCCTCTACATATGGTATAATTGTCCTCAATTTGCGGAACATTAGTATCTCTGCAGGGCTGTATTCATTGTCAATTGCCATATTTCTATGTAAAAGCAATTCCAAAAAAAAATGTCACCATTAGTATCTAATGTCATTTTAATGATATTTATAGTCGTTTGAATGTTTCCTTCTGTCATTTCATTGGACTGTGCAAAAGTTGGTGATGTTATTAGCTAAAAGATCATGTAAATCATCCATATTTCTCAAAGTGGCCCAATTGATTTTCATAAGAAAAAACATTAAGAGTCTCAAAGTCTGTCGACCACGAAAAAATATTTAATAATAATAGTGTGTAACTAGTTTCGGCCACAGGCCATCATCAGACACAAAATTGATGTATTCAAAGTACCTGAAAGATATAATGAACATTGTTAAGGAGTGGAAAAGAGAGTCAAAGAGTTGGTATACTAACCTCAGTAATACATATCAGAAGCAAAACTATTTTTATCATTATCAAAAAGCCAAGATCGAAAAATCAAATTATCAGTCCTGAATATGAAATAGTTCAAAATCTGGAAAAAGTCCAGTAAAACCAGATCAGCATAATTTTAATGAACAGATACATCAGAAATAACAATCGAAAAGTTTCAAAAAACTTGAAACTTTTCAAATTTTAAGAAAAAAACACTTTTTCAATATTATGTTCTGTTGGGAAATGTTTGGCAATCTCCCTTCATATAAGTACCATTCTGATATGTGAAATTTGGCTCATTGGTTCTACGCACCCTCGAGTACGGGACCCTTCATTTATTGAGAAACCGTATATGCAGGCTGATTTACTAGCTAGTTTATCAGTTGTACTCGCTCTCAGAGTACTGGGCCCTTCATTGAGAAACCTTATATGAAGATTTTGAAAACATTAGTTTCTGACTATGAGCATCGGCAGGCTGATTTACTAGCTAGTAATTTTTTTGTTTTCAACTCTAGATAAGTCAATACCAAATAATAAATTTCCTCGTCAAAATCTTGTTTGTATTGTAGAACTATTAATTAGGCTGAAGATGGTCCTTTCTAGGACCAAAACATTTCCCTGATTGTGTAACAACGTCATTAAAATTTGTGGAGATGGATTCGAGCATTCCTTCATTCTTTTGAAAATTCCACTACACTTTGAACAATATGAACTTCTACTAAAGATTAGTAGTTTGAAGTTGAATGTTAGGTTTAGTATTATTTGCTAGAGATATGTATTGTATAAGACAAGTAAAGAAAATTCAATTGGCGGGTTGTGTAGTGACTCAATTAGGTAGTGTAATCTTACGCCACTGTATATGAACATAGAGAAAGGGAGAGACGTCGAGGACTAAAGAGAGACTATAATTTATCCAAAGTTAATTGATGCGTGTCAAGGTAAAATCATTCAAACAAACCGAATTAAATACTAAATGATACACGAAGTCATCTCCACGACATATAATGTGATTAACACATCAGAATTGGTTGGTGCATGTTTCGGACATATATATGTCCATCATCAGCCTTATGAGAAATTACATAAATAATGTTATGGGGATAAAAAAAAGGTTATGTGACCAAATTTAACATTTCAAAATTTTTTTTCCTCTGTTTGGGTTTTAAGAAATTATTATATGGGGAAACCCAACAAACCCCCGGAAATTACCATAGAATGTTTTTTGTTTTTGTAATGACCATCAAATGGCACATATGGATGCGACATTGGAATTGGAAACGTCCAATGTCGCATCCATATGTGCCATTTGATGGTCATTACCAAAAACATTGTATGGTAATTTGCGGGTGTTTGTTGGGTTTATAATTTCTTAAAACCCAAACAAAGGAATACATTTTTTGATCATAAAGCTGATGATGGACATATATATGTCCGAAACATGTACCAACCAATTCTAATGTCTTAATCACAATATATGTCGTGGAGATGACTTCGTGTATCATTTAGTATTTAATACTTGACTCCACTTTGAGAAACCATGGACTTCTACCAAAGATTAAGCCGAATTAGATAAAACCACTGTTTTACGGACTCGAGATTTCATTTTCATAATTTTGACAAATAAAAAAGTTTTCCTTGGAAATTCAAAAATTATCGATAATATTTGAACGACTCGTGATATTATTACCTTCTATAATTCCGATTTTTTCCAGGCTATAAACTGGGTCATAAGCATACTCGTATCGTTTTTTCGATTTCGCAGGAAATAATTTCAACGTGGTGATGAGCGGCTGCGGTAATGTGTCGATAATATTTATATATTTATTAACAAAGACAATTGCAATGAAATTTCACGAAATTCGCCTACTTGAATTCATAGTTTCGCTCATGTTGACAGCTACCACGCATCTAAGATGGCTACAAGCACGCATCCCATAATACAACATAGGCTATATTCCTAATTCAACTGGTTAGTACTGTCAGTACTGACTCTGCTGAAAACATGCCTTCCGAAATATAAAATAAAAAATACAGTGCTGTGCAATACAGAATGTTGAGCCGACTTATTTGGATTGAATAAGTATGTCTACTTACAAGTATCTGTCACTTTCAGTGATTTTTTTTGATTTCGGAATCAAAAATCAGCAGATTCAGTACTGTCAGTTGTCGTGAGCACACGACAGTCTAGATATTTAGTCGTCATTGACCCGAGTGTAGAGTGGTGTAGACCTGAGCCATAGCGATAGCGATGTGAGTATGTCCTGTCGTTGTGTCTTGCAGACAGATTCGTGATATAATGACAAATACCCAAACATGATCCAAACCCATAGGGATTTTCTATGCCCAAACTGAGCCCAAACCAAAGGTCCAAACCTAAACAATTAATGGTTTTCAATGATCTGGAATGGGGCATAATATAGACTCTAACGAAAACGCCCCAAGCCATAGCGCCGGTATTTATTATCCCAATTTAAAAAAACAAAAATGCAAATGAAATTACTCATCAGATACTACAAGGTGGCACTAAGAGTTTCTTACTCCAATTTCAACTGTAAAGCCAGCCTTTGTTACCTTTTTTTTCAAATGGCTTTAGACATTTTTTTTCTGAATACATTGATGTATAACAAGTAGACTTTCGCGCAAAATTAGTTGAAAAAATGTATTGTATGTACAGGGTGATTCACCATAAATGTCCCCCCTTCTAGCTCAGTTATTTTTGTACAGATTTCAAAATTTGAAATATCATCTCAAATGATTTTCGATAAAGTTTTTTTCCGCTACATCAAAAAATACAGGGTGCTCGGAACAAATGATCCACAGGGTACTATTTGATTTTTTTTAATGGAACACCCTATTTTTCATTGTATTTTTAGATTCTCCGTGGAGATCTGATTTCATCAATGTATCACACTTGGGGTCTAGCGAGAATGATTACAGAGATATAGGGTGTTCAAAATCGAGATTTTTCAACTTTAGAATTTTTTTGTGACGAAACTGTTCATTATCGGTCAAAACGGCTTCAATGTCCGTATCTTAACTTTTGATTTACTATCTACTGACATTTAATGATTGGAACAGATACAGGGTGATCAGAATTCTGAATCTTGAACCACCCTGTAAATGTTCCAATTAAATGTCAGAAGATAGTAAATCAAAAGTTGAGATGGGGTCATAGAAGCCGTTTTGACCAATAATGAATAGTTTCGACACAAAAAAATCTTGAAGTTGAAAGATCTCGATTTTGAACACCCTATATTTCTGTAATCATTCCCGCTAGACCCCAAGTGTGATATATCGATGGAATCAGCTCTTCAGGAAGAATCTAAAAATACAATGAAATGCAGGGTGTTCCATTTGAATAAATCAAGTAGTACTCTGTAGATTGTTTGTTTCGAGCACCATGTATTTTCTGATGCAACGGGAAAAAAATGTCTGAAAGATCATTTCAGATTATTTTTCAAATTCTTAAATCGGTTCAAAAATGAGTGAGCTATAGGGGGGGACATTTATGGTGAATCACCCTGTACAGCTTGACCATTCTAGCTGGGCCCCTGAGATGCGCAAATAATAAACAGAGATGTTTAGTGTGCGACAAAGATCCACTACGCCTTTTTATTGGAAAGTAAAATCGTACTGTACTGTTCTAACCGATGTCCACTGAACTAGTTCCTCGACAATAATGAGCTCTCGCCCCACTCCGCCGACTGGTCAACTGCGCATCCAATTCTCAGAGGCCAAGCAAAAATGGCCAAGCTGTATGTATGGTGTAAACCTGCCTATTATGTTCCAGATTCAATTAAAAAGTAGAACACTTACACATTTGCGCGTTACTGGCAAAAATAGTTTAAATTTTGACACTACCTGTCAAAGTAGATAAGATTCGACAATATTGACAAGCTTGGCCTATAACTGATGTACGACTTGTTTATGCCCACAACTTTACCACTTTCAGTCAAACGAGAATTAGTTCAACATCTAAGAGTACTATCGAAATAATGATACCTATTGCATTTTGCACTTTTGATGTCCCTTGTCATGAACATATTCGTAAATTGTTTCTTTGTAATAATAAGAAGATGATGATGACATTTGCAATTTGTTTCACATTATACATCTTCAATAAAAAAATAGTCCAAATACGAATCTAATGAAAGAAAGTTTATAGCTATTAGTTTGAGAATGACAAATGACTATTGGATAATCAATCTTCAACTTGCAGGTAGCCGCAGTAGTTTCTTTTTTTGTGAATCAGAAGAAGAAAGTTCTAGTCCTTGGAAGAATTCACATGAATCGGTGGCCAAAAGAGCATTGGGGATATGTTACAAACACCTGTTCTGTTTTTCTCACTCAGAATATTTCACAAGATGACCCTTATTTACTGTACTGTGCATTGCATTCTGGAAAAGATACAATCATAGTCACCAGAGACTTGATGAGAGGTCACAAGTTCCTTCTGAAATATCCAAAGGATAAAATATTGTTCAATCGTTGGCTTTCACAGCGACAGTTCCAACTACTGAGGATAAATGAAGAAGGAAAGCCAATTTTCAGGTATGGTAAAAATAAGAAATGAGTTCAGTAAGCACAAAAAAATGTTCAACCTATATAGATCGTTATATCGAAATAAAATACACATAGCATATGTTGACGATGACTATTTCGAGGATGGCTTCATGAAATTTATGAAGCCATCATTCATAAAATTTATGAAGCCATCATTCATAACATTAAGGAAGCCATCCGATTCCAGTTATGACGTAAATGAACTAAAATATAAATTGACCCCTACAGAATTCACGAGATGATATTATTTCATTTCTCTAGAACCTGCAATTATTCCTTCTATCATTCTCCTCGTTGTATGTTCAGATTATGAATAATTCCTGCATCTTAGTGCTACATTTGACTCAAAATCATCCACCAATTTTTTAGGGTCTACCATATGATCATGATTACTATTACGATTGCTATTGTGATTACGATTATAAATTTGGATCATGCTCCATCTCCATCTGCTCTTTTTGCGCTGGGGAAAATTCTTTCCAAAAACCACGTTTTCGCTCTTCTACTCAGGAATCTCTTGTCAACATGAATCCGAGTAAAGAGGTCAAGTCTGTTGTTCTTTCCTTTACTGCCTTCTCTAAAAATTACTTTTCTTCTCGCCACTTAGTAGTATTCTCTATCATTGTTGTAAGTGGCGCACACAAGGGGGGGCACTGGGACACGTGTTCCCCCCAAAGAACTGCCCGCAAACACACACAACCATTGCCAAAGCGGAACCTACCAATTTTTCGGTATTCCTATCAACATGAAGATCAGCGTATACCGAAAATTATTCAGTAATTTACCAAATTATAGTAAAATACTTTCGGTTTCTAAGATTTTTTTTTCACAATTGAGATTAGAAAAAAATCCGCAAAGCGTGATATATTTTTATATTACTCAAAATATTTTCAACATTGCCAGTATCAACAGCTACAGCAGAAAGAACATTTTCGACTTTACGAAGGCTTAAATCATATTTAAGAAATACTATGGGAGAAAATAGGCTGAATGGCCTTGCCAATTTGAATATCCATAGAGAGGTACATGTAGATACGAATGAGGTATTGAATATTTTGACAGAGAGAGGACCTAGGAGGCTGGATTTTGTTTTGTAAATTCCCGTTTTATTACCTACCTAGTTTGTATAGTTGAAAAATAAAAAATGTTCGTTAAATTTTCGACAGTTTGCTTGTTTACCCTTTTTTTATTAGGGTCAAAATGCAAGTCTTTTAGACACATTGTGCCCCTCCCAGGCCTGAGTCCTGGGTGCGCCAATGATTGTTGTACATATACTGTTGTTTCCGCTTAGTTCCATTTTTCATATCTGATATGAGCACCTTTGTACACTGGACTACTTCCCTCGTCTGCTCTCATTTGCTTTGCCATCTCTCCAAGCTTGCCACTCTCCTTTTTCCTAGCCTGCAAAGTACTTCTGTGACGTCTTTCTTATTTCTACCACCAGAATATCTATGGGGTACCTCAGCTACTAAAAGAGCCTTTCATTGGATAAGCATCTGTTTATATCGCTCTATTCCTGGGCTGAGTGCAGTATTGTAGTAGCATCCATACGTGATTATAATAATATCTAATAAAATTCTCTGAAACGGCTCGTCCGATTCTTATGAAGATATTTGTTCATATTCGGTAGGTCTGAGAATCAGTCGTAAACTATTTTTTAAATAGAAAATTCAAGATGCCGGATCCAATAGAGCGGAGGAGTTTTGAAATCCGATTCCGTTTATGAATTAAAATCTGGGAGTTTTCGAGATCGGTGATTATGATTCTTTCGTCAAAATTTGGAAGGTCAAGATGGCGGATGAGTTTTGTAACTATTGTCAGATTCTATTCAAGATTGGTATCTGGGGTTTTCTTGGTTGGAGATTATGATTCTTCGTTAACATTCGTAAATTCAAGATGGCGGATCCAATATGGCGGACGAGTTTTGTAATTATGGTCCGATTCTATTCAAAATTTGTATCTAGTAATTTTTGTGGTCGGAGATTATGATTCCTTCATCAAACTAAGGAAATTCAAGATGGCGGATCCAATATGGTCGACGAGATTTTTGATTATCATCTGATTCTATTTGAAATTGGTGTATGTGGGGTTTTCGGAGTAGCAGATTATGATCCTTTCGACAATATTAGGGAATTCGGAACGGCGGATCCAGTATGGCGGACGAGTTTTTCAATGCTCCTTTATTACCAGAGGGAATCATAAATTCGTTTAATTCAAGTCGTTTACCTCTACTCAGTTCACATCATGCTCCTTTCATCCTTAAAAATTGCCTGGGAGCTTCAGAAGTTTTGCATTTGATGAGATATTTTCAAACATGGATGAGAAAAAAAGAACTATCAGATCTCCATGGCATCTTGCGTTCTTGTCTTGTATCCATTACCACCACGAATTTGAATTATCAAGCTTGGACTCAAGCAAGCTTTCCAGTGGTGGTTTCGGAATACGTCGTACAAAGGAACTAGCTCTCCCAGCCTATTTGTCTTCGGTTCACTCTGTTGTAGGTCTGATTACTAGTATTATTCCTGAGTTCGTGGTCGAGAGAGAAGCTTCCTCAGCAATTAGAGAGTGGTGTAGATTAACTGGGTTACCTTCACCTTCTACTTCAGTTCAAAAACTTTGGAATTTTCATAATATAAATCATATCTTCTGCCTCTGTCCGTGATAAAGCTAGACTTCAGGCAGTTTCATTGAAAGAGTCTGGATCATGGCTCGATGCTTTCCCAATACCTAGCCTTGGTAATTTCCTCGATGACAACTGTCTGAGAATTTCTGTTGCATTACGTCTAGGTGCTGAATTATGCTGTTCATATGAATGCATTTGCGGTACTGAAGTTGATGTATATGGTCATCATGGATTGAGCTGCAATGAAAGTTGAGGAAGATACACGCGTCATTCAGCAATCAACGATGTGATTAAACGTTCAAAGTATCCTAGAACCACCTGTATTGTGCCGTGATAATGGTAAAAGCCCTGATGGAATGTCATCGATACCTTGGAAGCGTGGAAAAGCTCTGATTTGGGGTGTCACCTGTGTAGATTCTATAGCATTTTCCAATATAGTTTCATTTATCAAAGCTGCTGGAACCGCTGCGTCTGAGGCTGAGAAAAAGTGCGGAAAATATGAGTGTTTGGGAGACTAGTTCATCTTCATACCAGTAGGATTCGAAACTTTTGGACCTTGGAAAGCAGTGAAGATAGATCTACTGAATACCTTCGCCAAAAAATTTCAATTGAGCTTCAGAGAGGCAATGCGGCTTCCATTCTCAATACTATTCCATCTAGCAAAGGTGTCGAAAAAAATTTGTATGTACTGGGTGATGCTTTTTCAATAAAAACACGGACTTGTGCAAGCAGATCTACACAAGAAGATTCATGTGAACTCTTTAAACCCATCCATGCTGTTGATCTCCCACCCACATCAAGCGTCTTTAAGTCATATTCGAATCACCAGTCAACCTATTCAACCTATTCAATTCATCCAGCGATAGAAATTGTGAATACTGGTCCAAAGATTATTCAATATCCTGGAAGATTAAGGGACCAACGGCTTGAAAAACACTGGAGACACGTGTTTCATGAACAGATAATTCAGTGCCTGTCTCACACTAAGTGGTTGCTGGAGTATTTGAGAATGGACTTTTATAACAGACATCAACACGAACATATCCAGTACGAAGGAATCTTTGATAAAGGCTTTCGCAGAAGTCATAAAAGAACTGTGGTCGGAGGATTCGACTGACCAAGGTGTGTATATGATCTCTTCGAAGTGCACAATTCAAAAAATTGCGCCGTGCTTCATCGGCAATGCACAGCAAGACTCTCAAGAGTTCCTGCGCTTTCTGCACTTGAGGTTGCACGAGGATATCAATGAGGTCATCGAGAAGCCGGATCCTAAGTTTACAGACCGATGAAATTTGGGATGTCAACGAAAAGGCTTCGGAATCATGGTCGAGATTCTTGAAAGTGAATAATCCGAAGATAGTCAATAATTTCGTTGGTCTGCTCAAGTCATCATTGAAATGCACGTATTGCTGCTATTCCTCAGTGACGTTTGATCCCCTTTGGGATTTGTCATTGTCAATACCACAGCAAAAGCGCAAAATCAGTGTGTTTCAGTGCTTGGACTCATTAACCAGAGATGAGTCTTTGGATGGCGAAGACAAGCCTACTTGCTCCAAATGCAAGGAAAGGCGAAAATGTAAGTCATTATCTAGTCAGAGGTTCCCTGAAATTCTTGTCATCCATCTGAAACGTTTACCGCTGGATCGGTTCGTAGAAAAACTGAACGTCTTAGTTAATGTACCTTTAGACAGACTGGATATGAGTCATTACGCTGCCGATGGAAGTGTAGCATTCCACTACGATCTTTATGCTATCTCGAACCACAGCATCAGTGGTCACTATACAGCCTACTGCAAACATCCGTACTCTGGCACGAATGCAACGATAGTCGTGTTTCAAAAATTTCATCAGATTTGATCATCATTAGAAAAGCGTATATACTCTTCTATAAAAAAATGCCCAAGTTGTATCAGAGTTATTGGAGTGAATTTACACAATACCATGCACTATGTTACCAACCTACCTCAGTGATGAATTAAGTAATATAAAAAATGTACACATTCATGAAACTGGAACTCGAACTACAAATGATTTTTATATTATTATTAATACTTTTCAATAGCTTACCCACTGAAACAAAAAACCTCATGACTGAACCTTTTTGAAAAAAAAAGCAGAGACTATGTATTAAAACAGTTTGGATAGTATAAGATTGAATTATATGAGAGTAGCTTTACCTAGTAACTTTTAATATGTTGTACCTATTATAGTACCTGTTTTCGTCTTTTGAAGGACTTTATGACACTTGTGTTGTATTTTGCTTAAAGAGTTCTATGTAATTATGGTCCGTTTCAATTGTTCTCTAAAATTGGAAAATTCATGATGGCGTTTCAAAAACCATATTGAAACATGCTTCTATTGGTAGCCAAACTTGAGGCCAAACTAAATAGAAGTTGAAAATATATAGTATAGTTAAGAAAACTAAAGAGATAAATTGTCGAACCAAGAAGTAGAAAATGAAAAGTAGTTTGAAAAACTGAAGAAACACGTTTTTATGGATAGCCAAACTAAAATGAAGTAGAAAAAAATTTATAAAAGTGTGTTGATAAATATTTAACTAAAAACATATTTTCTAGAAATAAATTTATATAGAAAAACAACGTTTGCCGGGTCAGCTTTTGTAATACTAAAACTAAAAACTAGATAGAAGTGAGTAGAAAATAACGAGTAGTTTAAAAAAGTTGAGAGAGAGATTGCCGAACTAAAAAGAAGTAGGAAATAAATTGATTAGTTTGAGAAACTAATGAAACACGCTTTTTTACATATGAACAAACTAAAAAGAACTAGAAAATGAAGTAATAAAATTGTGTTGAAGAACATTTAACTAGTTAAATATATTCTAAAAATTATGTTTTATGTCAAAACAACGTTTGCCAAGTCAGCTAGTTAGATTATATATTTGTACATTTGTTCATTTCCACGATATACATACACCTTCATCTCCATCTGCTACGTCAGCTCTCCATCAATATCCCCATCCCTATTCTCATTCAAATTCTCATTCTCGAATTAGCAGTGACATTCGCATTTACATACGCATTCGCATTTCGTTCATTTCATATCCTATTTTCATTTTATCCCTATTTTCATTATCAGCATTCCATTCTTCTTTTAGCCGAATAGTAGTTTCCTACCTCAGGGTGCCCCATTGGGAAACGGAAAAACATCAACGATGGATAGAGACCGTCAGGGTGGTTCTGAAATACCATATTTGTGGGTCAAACAAGTTTTATTTTCGACGATAGGGTGTTTTATCAATTTTGCTAAATTCTTGTTGAAATTCCTTACACAAGTTCTCCTTCTTCTACCCAAGCGACTCACCTATCAGTTACGAGAAAAATTCAGGACCAGATTTACGAAATTTGATCATATTTCTGGGGCCCAAAAGGAACATCCTGAATTTTCGAATTTCCAAAATGCGATTACCTATTTTTAATATGCATAAAAAGCTGAATCGAATTGGGTACTCGTCATTTTGAGACATGATCTTTAACTAATGAATTTTGGATTCAGAATTATAATTCACAAGCGAAATATTGAGATGAAATTATGCAATTTCAAATGAAAAACTCAATAAATTATGATCGGCGCTCCATATGTTGCCGATTAAGCCTGCAATTATTGTTTTTGTATCTCCAAACACAAATTCCTCCATGTATCCCCATAAAAAAAATCCATGCTTGTAAAATCAGGGGATTTAGGAGACCCTTCAGTGGGTCTTTCTCTCAATTCATCGAGGTGTTTTGATATTATTCAAGTGTTGCCTCAAATAATGTGGTGCAGCTCTATCTTGCTGAAACCACATTCTATTGCTTTCAGCATCAATAATTGCGGCAGATAGATCTTCATGAAGTTCGAATAAACAGTTCCTGTCAAGGTACCATCGACGAAATGTGATTCTATTACATGTTCTTCAATTATTTCTCCCCAAATATTCATAGACTATCTGTTCTGATAACAGATTGAAATGTTCATCAATTTAAATAAACATCATATAATTTTCAAAGTTCAATAATTCGATAATGGTTACGAATATCAATATGGATGTCGAGACAAAAGATGTTAGTGTTTGAATTCTGCATCACATGGACAAAAAACTCCAAAAACTCGAGAAAAATCTCTTCAAAAAGTTATGAATTGGAAAATCATATTTATACATATACATACATACACAAATTCTGGGGGCATGGAAATTCTTCAGAAATATCACGCATCTTTCCATCAGATAATTTTATGATAATTTCTTCTTTAATTTCATAGTTGCGACGACAGTGATTTTTTCGGTACGCATCTGCAGATGACATTATTTCGACAAAAAATTTCATGACTTTGATATGATCGAGATATGGTCGATGATAATATGGGTGGCCGGAGGTTACAGGGATGCCTAAAAAAAATGCTCCCGACTCTCTAGATTTTTTTCGAAGCTCCCTGTATGTGCGGAAATATTTTCTAGCTATGGACCTTGTTGTCTTCATTCATATATCAGTTTTTGAATAATGTTTCTAGCTATTATAGCACTCGCACTATAGAGCTCCGACGCACTATTGCACCACCCTGTATATCTGAGAATATTCCTTTTCAAAGCTTTCATACCCATTCACTTCCCTAGATATACACCGTAAATAAGAAGGTCAACACCGAAATTAGTGAAACAGAAAATTCACAGATGTCTCTGTATCCTTAGTGCGAATAATTCATTCGAGTTCCAGACCGGTCTGTTGTTTTTTTCAGCGCCTTGCACACTTTAAACCTGTTATGAGTTACAGCATTTCCACAATGATAAAAGAATGTGTTGAAATGTTGAGAAGTTGACAAGTAGATTATTTTTATGATGACAGATATATCCCAGCTGACGTCATGCGCAGAACAAGACGAGTTTGAGCTTTCTGTTGAGCACACCATCTTCTCCTTCCACTATGCTCCTTATTTATCGCTGGCCATCGCACCGACATTCATTATTGTCGCGTGACAATCGTAGCCTATACAAATCAAAGTTAATCAATCGATGTTACAGGCTTAGATTCGATTGTTTTGGACCTGCATTTTTATTCTCAGCGAACCCTGTTATTTTATAGGAAAGCACAAAAAACTTCAATAGTGCTCCATATTGAATTTGGAGTGATGTCACATGATATATAATTATTCTCAACAAGCCTTTCCATTTGATATCCATATTGCAGAAGTGCATAAATAATAACTATTCCGCCATCTTGTATGGTTCGCTAACTATTTCGCACCTTATCGTGCATTGTCATCCAAACTGAACGTGTATACAACATTTCAGCTCAATCGGTTGAAGATATCTACTTCAAAATTGAGTTGAAAAATTCCACCCGAACAAGTTAAATAAAAGCTTCTAATTTCAATTGATTGAGAACCAATAATTCAGAAGTTGAAGTAAAGAAAAGCTGAAAACTATGAGATTTGGGATATTGAGAATCTGAGGCATAATTTAGGAAGAAAACAACAAGAAGGTTAAAGAGTTGAGAAGTTGAAAATTTTGACACAAATGAAGTATGGGAAGCAAATCTGAAAACTTGAAAATTTGTAACAACAGTTGGATAATACTTGAAAATTGTAGATATAAAGGGTTGGAGAGTAGGAGATGAATACTCCGCTGAATATTAGAGAAGTCGAAGGGTTGAAATAGTGGACAATAAAATGAATAAGAAACAGGTTGAGGAATTGAAAATTTGAAAAGTTTGAGGTTGGATGATTTCGAAAGTTGAAAAATTGTCTTCCTGATTCAACATTAGAAAGTTGAAAATTTCCGAGAAATGGGTTGAAATAGGGTTGAAATTGTAAAGAGTAAGAATTGAGATATTCAACAATATAAAAGTGAAAATGATGAAATAGTCAGAGAGCTGAACAACGAACAGGTTGAAGATTTGAAAAATTGATGTACAGAAAACTTTGAGATATTAAGGATAATGAGAATTTGAGAAAACATGCAATTTTGGAAGACTGGACAACAATAAAGTTGAAAACCTAATTTTGAACAAATATTCAAGGACATATAATAGAAAACGGAAACTTCATAGAAACGTAGGTCAAAAATCAGCTTCCAAGGAATCTCGGTATAAAATAAATTGCCTTTTCTTCTTTGTTCTTCCATGAGAATGATATTCCTGGAACGATTTAAAAAAAAAATTCTTTTCAACAACTGTATTATGAACTAAAATAATCGACTGAATCTTGTTTCGTGTATACTATTCAGCAAAATGTACTCACCTATTTATTTATGGCACATCAAATAAAATAGTATTCAATGATACACAACATTCAATTTGCATGTATGTTTTCTTAGAAATCCATTTTACTCGAGAACGGTGCATTTTCTCTAAGTCGTTGAGGGTATCATATTTTTGTAAAAACTCCTGAACTTCCTTCTCCAGAATACTTTATGGTGTACTTTTTGTTGCTGTAGCTCATAGATTTCTGTAACTTATATCGACGACAATTTCTTTTGTATTTCCTCACACTTTTTTATCGAACTCATAATTGATGTATGAACATCTAGATAACCCTGTATATAGATATAGGAACATCTAGATAACCCCGTATATACAGTGTGACCCACTTCTAATGGAACCACCCCTTTATCTTACGTAATCGTTGGGTAAGGATCCTGAAATTTGCTGGAGCGAGAGATATACCAAAAATGCACTCTATGACCAAGTGGGGTCATCTTCAGTGATATACACTGCTCGCCAACAGCCATGAAACTACCCCAATTCCCGGAAAATGATATTAGGAGTCAAAATAGGTCGAAAATCACTTCAGATTTGGAATCAGGGCGCCCAATTTACTAACTATTCAAATTTTTCCTGGACAATTTTCAGTTCGGAAAAATGAAATTTTGTCGCATTTTTTATGGAAGCACCCCCGTATCTCATGTAATTATTGAGGTAGGGTTCTGAAATTTGCCGGAGGAAGAGAAAGTCCAAAGATAAAGTCAATTACGTGAGATACGGGGGTTCTTCCATAAAAAATGCGACAAAATTTCATTTTTCCGAACTGAAAATTTTCCAAGAAAAATTTGAATAGTTAGTAAATTGGGCGCCATGATTCCAAATCTGAAGTGATTTTCGACCTATTTTGACTCCTAATATCATTTTCCGGAAATTGGGGTAGTTTCATGGCTGTTGGCGAGCAGTGTATATCACTGAAGATGACCCCACTCGCTCATAAAGTGCATTTTTGGTATATCTCTCGCTCCAGCAAATTTCAGGTTCCTTACCCAACGAATACGTAAGATACAGGGGTGGTTCCATTAAAAGTGGGTCACACTGTAGATATATCAGTCAGTGTAATTTGACATATCTATTTCAGCTTTAAAATCCTGAGCTCAAAATATGAAGATTTAACCCAAATCACCTAGATGAAATGTGACTCCTGTCTGTTACAGGGTGTTTCACTATTTATTATATAAAAAATTACTATGTTGTTATAAATATTTTTTGTTAATATCGATTAAAGTTTCATTTGCATAATAAATGCAATGCAATGATCCGGAACATCGACATAATTCTCAACAATCTAAACTATGCTATTATAAGCATAATCAACATTTTTATGTTTCAATTCTTTTGCTCCAGAACTTCCCACCATCTCATAGAAAATGAATGGAACAGTAACTCTATATATTCACCAGCGGTTTACTCCGAGGTATACTCTCAAACATATATCACCAAATCTATAATTCCTATACAATTTCAACTTGTCGTTTTCCAACATTTCAACTCTCTAATTCTCATGTTCTTCATATTGTCATCTCATATGTCTCATGTTCATATTTTTGTTCGCTTCGAAAAATTCAGCACAATTATATGTATATTTAACTTAAATTTGATCATAATGGTGAATACATGAAAAATAACCCTCTTACAACCCTCTTGAAACAGGAACAAATATAAATTCATTGAATATTTACCCTAAGAACAGTGCCCCATAATATCCAAATGCATCTTCAGCTTCAAAACTCGTCAACTTTTCGATCAATCGAATTTCCAAAATTTCAACTTATTCACATGTCCATTCATTTGTCAACTCATGTTCTCGAATTTTCCAGCTCCACATAGATTGGTATATTTTATCGGAAGTCAATTGGTGTGCTTTGAGCTGCGCGTGCACTCAATTCAAAAGGAACTTCAAACCCGCCGACGCCGCGTGGTGCGGAATATGCTCCAATTGACTTTGGATAGATAATAACAGACCATGAGTCATCATAATTTGAGCACATTGGAAAACTATTAAAATAACCTCATAGGTACCATGGATTTAAAACTCTTATACCTACTACGGAAGTATTATGCTACCAATCAAATTGTGGTTGTAGGATCGTAGATTAATATTAATGTATTTATTTATCGTACCTACCTAAAAATTGTTCTAAAATTGTTCTATCCGTCATTCGGTTGCCCCCTTACGAGCAACCCTCAGAAGTATTCGAAAGACTTGTGCGAGCAAGGAATGACGGGGGCCTTACCTTTTAACGTGTGATCCCAAACACTTTCTTAGGCCATCAAAAAAAGTCTGCGTTCGTGGGTCTCGAACCCACGATCGATACCTCGACGTGAATCGATATTGAAGCATCGAAGCACTGAGGTACGCCGGCCTACATGTACCTATCGATGCCTATATTGAAAATACAACAAAAACCAACATATTCAATAACTCAGCTTACATACGCTGAGTAACATTTTGAAAAAATCTGCAAAAGAATTGAGTTCGCGACGGAGATTACAGATTCGTGATTGGGTTTTCTTTCAACTTTCTTTGTGATGAACATGAATTCATAGTACAACTGCCAAACATTTTTATTATCACATAAATGCTATATGTTTCTTGTCGACCCAATATTCATATTATTTTTATCATAAGCAGTTTCTCTTTTTTTTTCAGAATTCCACCTTCATTTACCTCAGTGTCACAGAAAAACGATGACATCTGGCATATACCATATGAGAATGAAACCCAAGTGGATAAAAATGATTTTCACAAATCTTGGTTATGTTTGAAATGTCGTTAACTGAAGATGTGAGTTGATAGTAAAAGCTTCGCAAGAAATGCATCTGGTTTAATTAAATCTCCCAATATAACATAATATATGGTTCATAAATGAATTTTTGATCAGAAAGTCAAGTGGAATTTCGTTAATTTCGGTTGAATTTGAATAATCAAAAATCAAATACAAAAACAATAATATTTACTGATCAAAATGCTACTCATTATCAAGTCACAGTTAAGATACAGTAACTGAAACTATTGATAAGTAGTCACTGGATGGTATTAGTAGATGAGAGTTCGGACATAGCTGAATTTCTGTCCTTTTCTATTTTCTAAATTACAATGGCGTCATTCTCTAATAATGCTTGATTTATGATCTGACATATTGTACTTCCAATGGACATGCATATGACATACAATATTGAACGTGAAATATATTCTCAATTGTAGATCCATTGAACGTCCATGTTAGATTATTGGACGTCGTGTGCTATATGGGATGTGACCTTTTCGTTAATCCAACCAATAGCAATGCGTATTTCTTACCAATTATTCGTTATTATGATGATAACCCTGCATGGTCCTCTATAAAACCTTGTTTACATTGAACTGTAGAAATTCATCTCACCAGTGTCCGCCATCTAATTCATTTCGGCCTTCATGTGTGAGCAAGTGTGAATATCAATAAAATCTTTCATCAATTCTAAGAGAAAACAGAATAATGTATCCGTATTATTTGTTGTCGTTCAGCTAAATAACACATAAATACTGTCTGTAGGTTAATCGACTAGGTGGTACATTCATTTTTCCAAATTTTTTGGGATTTTCTCCACTTTTCTATAAAATAAAAATATGAATATTATTTCAATATACGTGTTGTGAGGACAAATCAGATGATTTGCCCCAAAATAACACTGCGTTCAAGAAATGTTCCTATCAGAGAGCCAAAAAGAAAAATTCTCTAGCTTTTCAGTGACAATTTGTATTGAAAAAAGTTTGGAGAAGAGAAATAAAGGTATATAGAAAAAGTATCGTATTTTCACTTACCTTTTTGGAAGTTTCGGGAACGAATCTGCTCCCGGCGTTTTCAACATAAAAAATGGTTATTTTAATAGCAAAGTCGTATTTGTCTTGAAACTTTTCAGTTCTCAGTGACAATTGGTGACGTTGGCAATCAAATCAGTTACAAGATGTTTCCATTAATTATTCTTGAATTAACCATTTTCATGTTCAGAATTCAGTACTAGCCTATTTCCGAACACTCAATGTATGTCGCGGTGACAAATAACGTGACAGAAGATTCTGGAATGTTCTGGAAACAATCGATGGAACAATTAGAGTGAGCGGTATTGTTCTAAGAAGCTTCTAGAACAAAAATAAGGGTACGGAAAATTATTCGAGAGAGTTCGAGAAGCAAAGCCTACCAAGGGATCTCATATATTATATGGACGGCCGGACAACTGCCGTCAGTCAGTGAAGCAGCGAGTGTCAGAGAGACAGTCATATACCGCGTGATGAATCATTTTACATAAATAGTTGCTATTAGTTGAATATTAATTAGGGTTCCTCAAGTTAAAATAAATCAGTTCGGAAATAAATAGTGCCGTGTTCGCTTCTGCACCCGAATAACGTAACAATTGGTGTCAGTAGTGGGATATTCCAGTGTGAAGTGAACAGACTGTACCGCTAAAGAAACTGCACTAGTTGAGAGTGGCGGACTTGAAACGCGAGTTGGAGGAGAGAGATCTAGAAACAACAGGGATCAAGGCAAAACTTCAGCATAGTCCCAAAGAATTTATGGTGAGCGTAGGTCAAGATCCAGAGACGTTCATCTTCGAGGAACCAGCTTCAGCGGAATCGATGTTGGCTGGGATCTCTGAACAGATAACGGCTCAGCAAGGCAATAGCACGGACCAGATAGCGGCTCAGGGACTGGACATTGCGGACCAGATGGTGGCTCAGCAGGGAGAGATCACAGACCAGATAGCGGCTCAACGACAGGACATTGGCGGATCAGATGGTGGCTCAGCAAAAGAAGATCGCGGATCAGTTGCGTGCTCAGTAGAAGAAAACCTCAGCTCAGCAAGATCAGATAGCCTTTCAAATGTCAGCCCAACAAGACGATGTATTAGCTCAGATGTCCGCTCAGCGAGAAGAGGGTCTGGCAAGTATTTCCGCTCAGCAAGATCAGATCGCCTCCCAGATATCAGCCAAACGAGAAGAAGTATTGACTCAGATATCAACACATCGGAAAGAGGTTATGACTCAGATCGCTGCTCAGCAATAACAGATCGTTGCTCAGCAAGAACAGATCGTGTCTCAGCAAGATAAGATTATAGCTCAAGTTTCAACTCAATTCACCACCCAGATAGAAAGAATAGCTGTGCTGGAGAAGTCTGGAAATGGTCAACGACTCATGATTGGAACCACAGTATGGCCAGATGCAGTGACTACTATCAATCGAGGGAAGCTTCCTATATTTGATGGAAAAACATCATGGCCAAACAATCTGAAGCAGTTCGAAGCAGCTTCCAAAGCCAATGGGTGGACATCAAAGGAGAAAGTGGTAGCTCTTGCAGTAGATCTGTGGGGTGATGTACTGAGCATCTTGCAAGCCATTCCGGAGGTAGAAGCCGATAGCTACGATCATCTCGTCAAACGCCTCGACATGCGGTATGGAGCCCGAAGATTGCCACAGGCCAAGAGAGGAATTGCAGAAAAGATCATCCAGGATATAGAACAAGACGAGGTAATCGAGCCATCCAATAGTTCTTGAGCATCACCAGTGGTACTAGTAAGGAAGAAAGATGAAAACACTCGTTGCTGCGTGGACTATCACCGATTGAACAACTTGATGAAGAAGGACAAGTATCCTTTGCCTCGAATTGACGACACACTCGACACGTTGGCGGAGTCGAATCTTTTCTCCACTCTGGACCTGAAAAGTGGGAATTGGCAGGTGGAAACGGATCCGGCAGATAATGAAAAGACAGCTTTCACCATCGGCACTGGATTATGGCAATTCAAGGTTATGCCTTTCGGACTCTCCGGCCACCTTCGAACGAATCATGGAGAATGTGTTGGGGGAACTCTCCTAGAAGACATGCCTGGTTTATTTGGAAGACATCATCGTGATCGGTAAACTCTCGAAGAACATCTGGCTAACCTAGAGGAAGTTTTCAAGAGACTTCAGGCTGCAAACCTCACACTCAATCTGAAGAAATGTCATCTGCTGCAGACACGGGTCAACTACACGTCGTAGGAAGACAGGGTGTAGAAGTCGACCCTGAGAAGGTACGAGCAGTGGAGCAATGGCCAGTACCAAGAGATAAGCATCAACTCAGGAGCTTTCTTGGACTCTGCACTTATTATCGACGTTACGTTCGAATGTCGTCTCACCGAGGAAGCACGCCCCTTCCACTAGGATCCAGAATGCCAGGCCGCCTTTGATGCTCTGAAGGAATGCTTGACCACGACACCGATTCTTGGGTATCCACTTTCACAAGGACAATTCATTCTTGACACAGATGCTAGTAATATCGGCATTGGTGGAGCCCTTTCGCAGTATCAAGATGGGCGAGAGCGAGTCATCGGTTACTTCAGCAAGGTGCTATCGAAGGAAGAACGAAACTACTGCGTTACCAGGAGGTAAGTATTGGCCATGGTAAAATCAGTGGAGCACTTCTATAAGTACTTCTATGGACGAAAATTCCTACTCAGGACGGACCAGGCTGCATTGAAGTGGCTCATGAATTTTAAGGACCCCGAAGGCCAAGTAGCTCGTAGGATCGAGAGGCTCCAGGAATATGAGTTCGAGATAGCACACCGAGTGGGGATGAGCCATAAGAATGCAGATGCATTATCCAGAAGGACATGTCCACCTGAGTGCTCACATTGTAGTCGTATGGATAATAAGGAATTAGCCCTCTGCAGAACCACCGTTGTCAATGAAGATTTGTTACCTGCGACAATCAAGCAAGAGCAAGAAAAGGACCCAGAACTTCGGAAGCTTCGAGAATGGAAGAAAGCAAATCACCTCCGTTCTTGGCAAGAAGTAGCACCATTTTCACAGACTTTCAAGGCATACTGGAGTCAGTGGGACTCCATGGTATTAGAAGACGACCTGCTCAAGAGGAATTTCGAGAGCGATGATGGGTCGGATAATCGGATGCAGTTGGTCATTCCTAGCGTATTCTGCTCTAGCCAGGAATAACTGCAGCCAAACAATAGAAACATACAATACCAAAATGAGATCGAAACTCATAGATTGTCCCTCGCTAAAGCAATCGGGAGCAATTTCACCAACAGTTCATTTCTACCAATCTCTTAAGCTGACGGCACTTTAGCAACAACATTGCAGCAGAGAGCAAATATTGTTGTAGAGATGTTTGCTGCAAACTCTACTTTAGATTCCCAAGGAAAAGTGCCCCCCCGACATTCCAGACGTTGAAAGTCTAATGCCCGAGATCGTCTTTTGTCAACGCACTATCAGACGCATTTTGCTTAGTCTAACGGCCCTTATGGAATTTTACCCATTATCCTCAAAAAATGTGCATCTGAATTGATACCTATTGTTATTTATTACCATCTTTTACAAAGCTGGAACTTTTCCATCATGCTGGAAGATAGCTAGAGTCCAACCAATCCCCAAGAAAAGGAACAAAAACCTTCCAACAACTACATGCCTATTGCCCTGTTATCAGTTATCTCCAAAGTAATGGAGAAAGCCATCCACATTGAGCTTATCAAATATCGGGAAAGCTCAAGGATCATCAATGATAGACAATATCGCTTTTTCCGCCGGAGTTCAACTGGAGATCTACTTGCCTACGTCACCCATATACAGGGTGTCCCATATGTTGAGGATCAAAAGAAGTGGGGTGGTAGGGGGGGTCATTTCAAATCAAACTAACCGTATATGTGGTTATCCAATTGTTGATGGTTCAAAAGTTATTAGTGTTTTTTCATTACTATAAAAAGAATTAATTACAAAAAAACTATGTCACATTTGTGATTTTCTCGTTCACAAATTTCATCCACATGGATGCACCTTT